AGCGATTATTTACTGAATAATATGGATAAATTAGCTATAAACCTGAAATTATGAGTTATGTGTGGCGCCTTGAGCGTCTGTCAGTCTGGAATAAAAAACTCCGTTCAATAATAAAGAATAATTAAAACGTATGATAGCTGCAAAAGCGGGACCACGAGTTGGCTATATAGGAATCATTGAGTTCAAACAAGTATTAGACGATGATACAAAATTAAAAATAACTGTTACAGGATTTGAAAAAAAGTGATTACAATGAAGGCCGCAATAAATGTTATGAGTTTATGTAAATATTTTTGAGTGTTAAACGATCAACTTACGTATATGCGTATAAATTGCTAGGAATGCGATTGTTTACTGATTATATTTGAGTAGTATGAAACAGGGCACATAATTATTGGAGGGGTGAGAATAAGGATAGAGAACGTAGACAGACATATTAGTGTACATGCCGATGAAAACACCGTTACTGTAAACCTTATTTGAATAATGAAAGAAACACGTATGGCATAGTTTTAAAGTGATGGGTGCGCCGAGAAAATCGTGAGTTTTGAGAAGCAACCAACATCAGTTTTAACATCAGTTTTAAACCCATTGAGAACCTGGAAGCATTGAACGGTCATTTCATCCTGGCATAAGACTCCTCAACAGTGCGCGTTCACGACATCACACGCGTGATTCTTACCCAGTACCATCGACTTCGCGCGTGACCGTTTAAACTCTAGGTCATTGATCTGGTATCTAACAGCGTCACTGTCTGACATCAGCCAATCCACGATGTTGCGCGACCGTCCTCCATTATCTTCATTGAACGACCATCTCACACCAAACCCATAAAGAGGAAATGCGTTCAAACCCCGGGTGTGGAATCGTGGATGCGCAATGCTGAGGCATCCCATATTAGGAAGAAACGGCGTTTAGTGTTTTTAGGCATTCAGTGATGGTTTGATATTGATCGATTCATGCTGTCAATCAAAACGCAACAATATCCATGACCCTATGCTGACCATTTACCGCGGAGTAATCAGCTGACATTGAAAACTGTCCGCGAGCAGGCGACATTGAGTGACATTGGTCCAGCTAGAACTAGTAGAAAGATATTTGTACAATACCAAACCATCCTATACTTTGCTAAAGTGACAATATAGCCAAACACACGACAAAGTTCATCATAATTTATCGCTTCAGGAGCAAGAAAAACTGTCGACTAATACTAGACAATGTTGAATCTCGAAGGGGGTTCAATAAGGTTTCATAATTAGGCAAAAGAACATACTGCCTAAATTAGGTTCCGAACATTTGTCTTCGGCGTGACGTATAGCGTGGCATATACAGCTGGTCTTACTGATCACTGAATTTCAAGGACGGGACAAGAATGACCTGAGCTCCCACAGAATAGTACTGTTAATTCATATACTGTCGAAATTGTTGAAAAGCTTAGTATGCGCTTAAGTGAGACGTGTGAAGACGGCCCACGTGTGAATTTAAGGCAGTTCTAAGAACCGGAGAAAAGCTGAAGATATTCCTACCAGTCGTTCTTTGATAGATTATTCCAGAATCTCGACGTGTAGCTTAACTAATGAAAACCCCCTCTATGCCGATTGGATGACTACAATGGCGATTTTGCTTTGACTAATAGCTATAAATACCTAAAACTTTTGAGCCACATTCGGCAATGTTTAAAATAGCATGCCTCTTGCTTGTCTTCTGTCTTCTCGTTTGCGACTTGAGGAGTTCTAGAGTTCGAGTGCTCAAGAATTTAACTTCTAGATATGACAAGACATGTTACTGAAAACCACGCATTCAGCATTGACTAATCAAATTCAGTGTCCCCCTCTTTTATATCTGATAAGTTATTCTAATACCTTCAACAGCGCATCATAAACCATTTCATTACTTTAGTATTCGAGAATCGCTTTATTTTTACACATTCGTTCAAACATAATTTGGTAAATCGACCGTTTGTTCTTCTTCCGAAATTTTGATTCTTATGTCATCACTTCGTTGCACATAATTAGAAAATTTCTGTTTTAGGTGGTGTCTGACAGTTGTAACAAACCTACTTTTCTGGAATAAACAATTAGTTGTGACAAAATTATGTGAACTTACAAATGACAATTGAGTTCACTGAGAAGGGTTAAGTTTTTCTTCTTAGTTACGTTGCCTGACAATGGAAAAACCCGGAATAAATTTTTTGCGCGATGATAAGTGTGCATATATATATTGGATGTTAAATTGCTTAAAATACTTCGTTCACATTTTCTATTAAACACATGCTCACAATTCGATTTCTTCAAGGTCAACCGGTCGAAAATACCTCCCAAAGTACTTTTTTGCCCATTGTGTATGTCATACTGATATGATGATACTATGAAAACATAGTGAAAAGAAATTTATAATACTTGCACAATATTTTTATATAGTTGATAGAGCCTAGATCTGTAAACTTTTATGGTGAAAAGATGTTATAACACAACCATATATGGTTGCCTAAATATATACGCTATAAAATCTCGCAAAATGAAGTAGAAATTGACAGCTAGTGTCCTGGAGGGTCACGTTATTAGGGTTCTGTAACACTATTTAGGCACGAAAATACACTTCGTATTCCACAACACGTTATAATAACGTGACCATAAACTAGATTCAACATACATGTAGCGTTAATCCGTGTGTTTTTCCAGTCATCTGCCTGTACAGCTTGTCTCATTTAGTCGCTTAATTTTTTCTTTATTCACTGTCCCACACATTGAGTTCTACGTCGCAGTACTGCTCTATAATGTGAGATTAACAAATGTTGGATTGGCGAACTTATACATCATTACGTGAAAAAGAGTTTGTCCTGTTGTTTGTTTGTTTGTTTCTAACCAATATTGGTCCTAGAAGTATTGACTAAAACTGTCTGTTTACAGTGATTTAGTCATTACCTTCGTTAAGCTTGTAAGTTGTATTATGTCAGGAATATGCGTGCAATTGTTGATCAGTATAAAGTTAACATTTCTATTTTCGACCCATGAATAAATAGTTTTCAACGGCTTGACGTTTAGATACGTTGCCAGCGTATGTTAGGAAAATGATCAGTGTTATCATTTCTTAGTTCTTTACTTTCTACTAACCACTCAATTTTTCGACATTTACTATTAGTGTCTCTTTAACATCGTATTCATATTTAGGGTGTGAGCCTTTCGGATAAACTGGTTTGAGTAACCAAAGCACTCATGCTTATATCTTTCACTTTCATTTCGTTCGAGACATTCTTGGATGCTGTCTTCAATTAGGTATGATAATTGTTTAAATTTCTCATGGATTATTTTTACTATGAACCACCTACACCTTGAACATTATGGGATTTTCTTCTTAGTTTCTCTAGAAAACATATAAGCTCAGTTCAAATATCAGGGAGATCATATTTACTAGTTTTTGGTAGTATTGCTTTCTTTGAGCTAGATGGTTTAACTAGTTGACTTTCGTTATTTTAGATGGTATTAACACTAAAACCATTTTAACTAGTCTTCACAGGTTTTAATAATTATTATCTTCTCTCTAACCGGTTTGTTCGATTAAACTGACTTACCTGTCTTGATTTGATAAATATGATTTAAATCGATGCTGATTGCAGATTGACATAAATCCCATGCGTTTTGGAATTTCTTGTTATTCTTGAATTCTCTATATAGAGTCTTTAGATTTTTACAATCAAATTTGTATCTGTAGTTGTATGGATACATTGCTGTAAGGGATCACGTATCTGCCTTCACTGTTAGTGCGTTCGTTTGTGTATGAGGAAAGTGGAAGTCCATTTTGTATAGTGTAGCACATCTTGCAATTGATGTACCTTATTTTCTGTTCCTTTCTCTTTCGTATTTCTGCCTGCATAAGATAAAATTTAATGATTGTATTACTGCATGAGTATTTATCATGTACAACATCGGTTTATCATTTGATTTCCAAAAGTGCTTTCGTAACAGTGTCATTTTTCTAGACATCTTTTGGTAAAGTTGTGCGACTAGCCATTTTTGTAGGCTGTAGACATAAAAGGTGGTGAGACTATGATTTATGGACCTGTTATCCATGTTGAAATAATCTTGAGATCCAACCACTCACTAAACTCAGAATAGGGTTATGTATTATTGTGAGGGAACTGGGTTAGGATTCGGAGTTGGAAAATACGGTTAGCAATTTGAGTTAAGGTTTTCATGAACTGAGATCAGCTCTAATGCGGGATACTGTCTAACCATTTAGTTGATTGATTCTTGCGCCAAAATCCAAGACTTGCTAACTTAAATCTGACTGGTTCGTGCATATATTATAATCGCGCTTAAGACAACATTTTGTATTAACAGTGTTTCGATGAATTTAGACTCATCTTACTTGTTTCTTTAGTCGCTATCAACGTAGAGCTTGGGATAGATGTGTATTACCCCAAGTCGCCATACAGCAATATCACAAGTTTAAAATAACCAGATGGATTGCAAAACATCGAAATAATGTAGTTCCAATGATAATGGAAAAGAATAAATATTGATAAATCGTTTCGAAAAGGCAGTGGAAAGTAGTGTATGGAGGAATATTGGGATTCAAGATCTAGATGTGAGTACATCGTCTCCATTGTGACTGATTCTAACCCAAGTTACACAGCTGAAACCAATAATCGTGGTTACGACACAGACCACAACCACATTCCACATCTAACGGCATGGCTCATACCAATAGCCAGTGACTTCGTGGACCAATACCATGCTCTCGTTCAATCACTCCTAGCTTCCTTCTGACCTACTTCTACACCAGAAGGCATTACCCATTGAGTTAAATGGTTTCTAAAAATGCGTAACATTTTGTATTCAATGTGGTTATTGCTGTCGTATCGTTTGATGGTGTAATACGGTTTTAATAACCTGACCAAAAGTACCACTTAAAATATTTATTTCATTTTTGTTTTCGTTTGCTACAGCTTGTAACTGTTTTCTTTTTTTTCAAATCTTTCAGTTCCTTCTTAAACTACCATGTCATCAACATTGGATCATTTGAAAAAGCATACTATTATCGTAGCGGACACTGGAGATTTTAATTGTATGTAATCAATTTTATGATTTAACAAAACAACTCTCATTTCCACTTTATTATTATTATTTACAGCTATTAAAAAGTATTTACCAATTGATTCAACAACAAATCCATCTCTAATTTTATCTGCATGCAAATTACCACAATATTCACACTTGTTAGATTCTGCTATTCAATATGCTAAGAAAGAAAAACAGTATGTTTATTTTCTAAAAAAAATAACAACCGTTTTTAGAACATTAAATGAACAAATCGAATTAGCATTAGAAAGAATATTTGTATTATTCGGTTGTGAAATATTGAAAATTGTACCAGGACGTGTATCTACTGAAGTGGATGCTCGGTAACAAAACAACAATAGCATTAATAATGCTTATTTTATTTATTCTTATCTTCTTATATCTTTTTATAGTTATTCATTCAATGTACAAAAACAAATAGAAATAGCATGTCGTCTCATTTCAATGTATGAAGAATTAGGATTTTCTAAAGAACGTATACTTATTAAATTAAGTTCTACATGGGAAGGTATAAAAGCTGCAAAAATATTAGAATCACAATATGGTATTCATTGTAATTTAACATTAATGTTTTCATTTTATCAGGTAATTAAAACAAAATGATGGTATAACTTTAAAGTTATGCTTATTTTGTTGTAGCGTTTTTATTTGTAAAATATTTTACAGATTCTTTTATGAATTGATATTTTTACGTTTTTATTTATGAGGAAGTGAATTTTGTTTCTACTCTCTGCTCAAGAATATGTTCTATTCAGTTCTCTTTAACCAGTTCCTGCTTGGGTTTGGGCAACCGGGCAGTATCTCAGCTTTCACATGAATCGAATGATTTATGTGATGCTTATCTATTTGGTGCCTTCTTTGTACCAATGTTTATGTGTTTAGATAAATAAGTAACCAGTTACAGATAAGTTTAATAAATGATTCGGTTAACGTGATATATCAGTGGGTTTGTGAAACTTATTCGATTGAGATGGTTTAGATGTGTTACATATTCTCAACCATTTACTACCGTAATGCATATGATGGAATGAAGGTAGGTTGCAAGAAAATTGAATTCGGGCGAAGAAACACTTTTTATCAGTCCATGAAGTCATTGATCAATAAATTCGGACTGTTTAACTTAGATTTGCGTGAAAACCGCAGTCAGTGGGGGGGGGGACGTTGCGTGATACGTTTAGTAAACAATCATGATGATATATACATTCACTCTTTATCTGACCCTTTGTCTTAAGCATTAAGTATTGTTTTTTTGTTCAACAAATTAATCTTGTCTTTTTGATGCATATCACTCACTACTTAATGATTCTCACTGTTGTTAATATCACTTATTCTGATTCGTACGGTATTCATTTCACTAATCTGATTTCGTTATGCTAATATGGTATAACGGACTGAGTGTTATGATGAAAATAAACATTCAAAAAGAACGCACAGCAATTCAAACAAATAGGAGAAAAACAAAAAAAATTGGTGTTGAATGTTATACCTAGAAATAATGTGTATTTATGGATAGTCTTCTGGAAATCCTAGACTTGGATGTTGCGTCAATCGGAAATTGTCAAAAAGATTTACTTGCTGTGTAATACGTATATATGTGTTGAATGTATGCTCATAACCACTGAATGACTTATAGTATTGAAAAATAATTAGATTTATACATCTTAGGCTACGTGAGGTGTTAATCATTGATGTTCATAATAAAAAAAATAGTAAGTCATTACATGTGTGAGAATGTCAATAAGATTCTGGGAAACATAAGGCGATCTGTTTATAATTTTATTTATCAGGGTATGAAGAAGGATTCACTACATTATACTTCTGTACATATAAATCAGTTTGAAAACATTTAATGATATAACAGTTTCTCTATAAATCATAGCAAAAGCCAAGTAATTTCACTACTGACAATTTTAACTTTCCAAATATACAGTTTAGTAAAAGCATGTTCAAAAGTTTGTATAAATAAACCTTTCTTGTGGTTCTTTTCACATATCTGTCACGACTGATACATAAAAATTCATAAGTGTAATTAATGGTGACTTTGAAAAAATGTTATCTACTGAAATTTATTAAATTGTTACATTTGCGAATTCAATCCTTATCGGATGGAAATAATTATCCACCTCCGATAATAGATGAAGGGTTGTGCAAGATTATAGATCGATAATACCGTTGGATGTCGATTTAATGGTCTAGAAGTTAGGCGTTCACGTGTGAGACCAAAGTTCCTGGGTTCAAGTTCCACGTGCAGGATCGTAAATCCCCACTTTTGAGGCATCCTATACTAGAACGAAACGACCGTTCAATACTTCCAGGTTTTCAATGGTGGTTTAACTTAGATAGATTTATAAATTCAACTGTTGAAATCCTAACATTCATTGATACATAAACTGATCATAAAAATGCATTCAAAAAATATGTTTGGCTAGTACAAAAATTATGTTACTGGTCAACAAAAGGTTTGTGCTCAAATTTTCTAAATCTGAGATCGAAACATCGTCTATATATATATATATATATATATATATATATATATATATATATATATATATATATATATATATATGCATACTTGTATCGAGATGTATATGTACATAATTAGGTATCAGTTTGTAGCGTCTAGTATTATATCCAACGGACATGGTTTATTCTAGCTTCCGGAAAGATCGATTTATTCATTCATGTCAATTCACATTTTTGACTCTGTTAATTATTCACTTATTAACTTTGACTGCTAGTATAGGAGGGTATATGTGTGCACTGCTTATCCTATTTATCACATGTCTCTAGCTTCCTTTTTTCGGACTATAAATATTGAGTCACGCTCACTCACCTTCTTCGCTTTTGCGTATCTTATTCTGAATATCTGTCTAGATAAACGAATGCTTGTAATAAATTTCTCCGAGACAACCCATTTTTGACTTCTTATTACAACCGTCATACATAGGGTTAGTCTAGGATTAAATGGAAGATTTATATTCATAACATATTTATACATTCATCCAAATCAGAGTTAGATCAACTGATCACGAAAGGATCATTGATGTTCTTTTTTTTCTTTCGAGAGTGTTCCTTTTGTTTTATTTAACTCTTATATTTTGAGAAATATATTGGAATAATTCATTTTTAAATGTATATTACTTTAAATTTAATAGGCTATAGCTTGTGCTCAAGCTAATGTTACATTAATTTCACCATTTGTTGGACGTGTACTAGATTGGTATATAACTAAATATGGTAAAAAAGAATATACTAGACATAATGATCCTGGTGTTAATTTGGTTACTCGTATTTATAATTACTATAAATCTCATGGTTATAAAACACAGGTGAGTTAATGAATTCTTTATTTTAAAATAATTATAAATATATATACAGATTAAGATGTTTTTTTTGAGCTAGTGAAGCTGTTCGATTCCTTAAAAATGATGTAGACAAATTGGGACTCGAACTTATAAGTTACTAATCAAGGGTTAGATAAAGTTGTTGTGTAAAGCATTTTGTTCAAACTAAAGATAACGAAATCTCAGCACGGGTACAGAAGGCTCGACTAACTTTTGCCAACTTGCGTCATTTGTGGCGTAGGCGAGGTATCCGTCTATCAACCAAAGGACGTATTTACTGCGCAGCAGTTCGTTCCGTCCTACTTTCTGACTGTGAAACATGGCCGGTAAGTGTAGAGGATATTCGTAGGTTACTAGTATTTGATCATAGGTGTCTTCGAAACACTGCTCGTATATCCTGGGACCATCGAGTAAATATCGCAGTTGTTAGGAAACGAGTAATAGAGGAGGATGGCAAATTAATTGATGAAGTAGTGAAACCTCATCAGTAGAGATGTCTGGGACACGTGTTACATATGCCCAACCACCGACTGCCTCGACGTGCGATGTGTAGGATTAGGTTTGAAGAAAGGTATGGGCGGCCAGATCAAAACATGGCACAAATCCATGACTGACAAATGAACTGAGCCATGTTGGTAGGTGTAGACTACCTGATTGGAGACCGCGAGATGATAGCAACCGATGGTTAGAGACCCTGAATGACATGGCTCAAAATCGTTTGCAATGGCGCAGGTGCATCCATTCTTTGTGTTCTCCCAAATTCTAATCTCCTGAATTCTTCATGTCCCTGTTTTCCTCTTTACAAATTTATTTCACTGGACTATACTCCTTAAATAACATCTTCAAGCCCTAATTTTTTCGGTTGCTGCTTATACTCTTACTACCTCTACCACTACGGGATTTGAGTGGACAACTGCATCTCTGTGCTAATGTGGTGTGGCAACTTGAACTGATGTACGTACGTACGAAGTTCTACGTTGTTACTGACTGACTTAGATTAATCTCTAAAGCTTGTTAGGTTCGTGTTAAAATATGATGATCTTGAATTTAGTTTGATTTCAAACTGAAAATCAGTAGATGTTCAGTTGTACCCCAGAAATAATATAAAAAGTAGAAAATCTTGAAAACAATAGAATAAAATATAATAATAGTGTTTGACACGAACGACCGTTGGAGGTGTCATCACCCTTTGATATGAAGACCTTTCAACTTTCAGGGCAGAGTTTAAATGGTTTAAATGATCTCTGGTTGGAGTTTTATAGCAAGATTCTTATTTACGAGATGTCACTAACCGCATGCATAACCCTCCTCTTTTACTTGAGGCAGAATGAACGGCACATGTTCCATTTTATTTACATTTGCGCCAACTAGACAAAACCTATGGGATTCAGCTTAATCGTGAAGCACTAATTTGGTGCAATTGACTATGAGCCACATTGTTTTTGTAGGAGGAATGGCCAAATAGAAATAAGTGTAATGTACTTTTAATCTGAGTTCTGTTGAGTGGAAGCTAAGTGCCTAACTTAACTTGTTGTAGAAAACGTTATGATTCGTTCTCTGTTAAGAGATTTCTTTATTTTAAATAACAAATTTCGTTACAACCTGACATCAAGTGAAGTAAACATTAAAATCCCGTTAACACTTGATAGGTGTTTGATCGTAATTGGTTACTTGTCTTCAGTGTACACTCATAACGCATTCTCAATGTAGAACTCAGGATTTCCATATATCACAACAAGCACAATACCATTCAAACCACTGAAGTAAAACTCAAAGTTACATGTTTTTGAAGTTGTTCTTTTTTTGCAGCATTTAATGCATTCGGTTTTTTTAATTGTTTGTTTTTATTTTTTATTCCACACCACTGACTTTTTATCATAACCGTTGAGAACCAGAAAACACTTTGCAGATGCTTCATCCCTAATATGTGACTTATCAGTGGGGACTTACAACCAGCTGTCAAACTTAAGGTCTTCAAACTTCATTTCAATCACTTAACATCTAGACTACTGAATATAACACCCACTGGTTTGCATTTCCAATCTTAATCAATTCGTGATTTTACACAACTACAATTGGTTACCAGTGATAACAATTGTCTCACGACTTCTGGCTAGAATTACAAAAATTACCTGTAAAAATTAGTCACTACTTATTTATTTATTCATTTAAACAGATTAAGATTGATACAACGAGACACCAAGTATATATGCGCTACACAAATCATTCGATTTGTGTGAGGGTTAAGATACTTTGGTGGTGTTTTGTTCTCTGAGCTGGATGGTTTGGTCCAAACCATCCAGCTCAGAGAACAAAACACCACCAAAATCATCCACCTGAGCTACAAATCTTCTCCACCATCTCAAAATCATATGGGCTAGGATACTCCCCGGGTGCCCAAACTGAAGCAGGTGGTTTTCTTAGGGGATCACAGCCCGAACTTTTAACCTAGAGGTCTAATCCACAAGATAGTGTGGCAACGTTAGGAAATTCAGTCTAATGGTAGGCGATGACCAACAATAGGTTCTTACCTTCTCTGTTCCTTCATGATCTTGGAGCATATGTCCACCATTGGTTTGGAATCTCCGTATCCATCGATCCGGTTAAAGCACCGCACAATCACTTTCCGTCCTTTCAATTCCGTAAACATCGACCCAACCGCGAGAAGGAGATGAGTAGGACTTCCCTGCCAGTGTCTGTATACATGTGGTCATGTGAGAGCATTTTGAAGGGGTGAGAGGACTTTCTCCACCCTCGACTGTACCAGGCATTTGTGTGTGAGTCACTACTGATGAACATAGGATTGATTTGTTTTTATTATGATAAGCTTTAAATACTGGTATAGTTTTACATCATAGACTAACTTTGACTAACTAATGACTTCTTAATTAACATTAGGATTTAATTAGTTTATTTGAAGAAAATATAACAAATGGTACAATTTCTAATTAGGTTATGGTTATGCAATCAATTCTATTATGCATCTACAATTCGTTTAGATTAGTTCATGTTAGCTTAATAAACTTGCTATATATATATATATATATATATATATATATATATATATATATATATATATATAGTAATAATAACTTTATTACTAGTAATCGATTAATTATCAGTAATATGTGCTAGTTATCCTTTTCTTTCGTTTATATTCAATATTTTGGCACCATAATCTAATCAATACTGTGTCGTACTTCGGTCAATATATCACAGTTATGAATGTTATCATTGTTTAATTAATTAGTATCTATTTGTGATACATTTCTTAGCTTCATATTTTTGTGTCAAGCATTTTCTATGTATTCAAAAGTATATGAATCCATTATGTATCAAATAATCAGTTTCAGTGATAACTTCTTCAATCTATACAATTATCAATCTTATGGAGATTAGTTTAATTTGTAGGTTATATTTGTTACAGATTGATCTTAGTTAAAGCTCAATTGAAAAACAAGAAGTACTTGATAGCTGTTTCTTCCTAATATAAATCTCTTTAACAATGCTCACTTAACACCCCACCATGAACTGAACCTTACTTACTGACACCTGTTACTCCTCGTGGATGAGCATAGGCCGCTCACCAGCATTCTCCATCTAACCCTGTCCTGGGTGGTCCTTTCCAGCTCTTTCTAGTTGTTATTCATCCCTTTCATATCTGATTCTATTTCCCGACGTAATGTGTTCTTTGGCCTTCCTCTTCTCCACTTCACTTTAGCATTTCAAGTTAGCGCTTGTCTTGTGATGCAGTTTGGTGATTTCCTTAATCTATGTCCTATCCATTTCCACCGTCTTTTCCTAATTTCCTCTTCAGCTGAAAGCTGGTTTTTTCTCTCTCACAATAGGCTGTCGCTGATGGTATGTTGAGTATCTTGTGAACTGAACCTAGAACCTTTGATTCTTTCAGCTCACATTTAACCATTAAAAAAACTGATTTAGCTTACGATCACTAGAGTGGAAAAGCTGTCCAGTGCTCCTTGGTTTTCAATTGAAGTCAATCTATGATGAACTCAGCTTACAAATTACTGTATTACGTTAGACAAAAACGTATGTATATAAGCATATAAATCAAACTACCCAGCGTTATCCTTGGAAAATATCAAATTTCATATTGATTAAATCTTAAATACTAACCAAATAAAGTCATGGGTAAAGTTCATACAGGGTCATACAAGAAGAGGTAAGAAATATCATATCCTTTAAGATTAGACTAAGAATCAATCATCTTTATTATGGAATATAGCAAATAAATAAGATTGCATGTATCTTCTTTGTATGCATACCTAAGGTTTCTTCGAATTGACAACCATTTTTTTCGCTATTTAGAGTTAGGGTAATCGTACGCTATTTGGGAATCTTCTGAATAAGCCTTTTCATTTTTTGGTATTGTTTATTTTCAAATAGATAGCTATGAATGATACCGATAATAGAGATCGTAACGCCCACTCAATTTCGCAAACAACAGTAATAGCGTGAGAATGCAGTGAGTAGGACTTCTCTGACAGTGGCTGTATACACATGGCCATGTGAGTCATTTTGAGGAGAGCTGACTCTCCCCATTCTCGGCCGTACCAGCGCATTTGGGGGCAGCATTTCTATCAGTATTACTTTGTAATTGAAGCGTAGTAAAGAAGAGAAAACCACATTCATATTATAATTAACGCATTAAAAAAAACTAATTAGAAACTTTCTAGAGCAATCAAGAGATTACGCAATTGTTTTAAATAAATACTCAATTCTTCCTAGAAAAAGTGGATGTCAATACTTTTTTCCAGTGTTTCGCGTAACGTTTTGCTCCTTTTCGAATAATTTCCAACATTTTCAGTCTGTTAATTATTAAGTCATGCATATACTGATTTTTACCATTTTAAATTGTTTTACTTAAATGTCACTTTTATCTTATAACTCATCGTGCTACTGTTGTATTGTAAACAGGTGGCGCTATCGAGTGCTCAATAGAATCGTTTTTTAAGAGTTGAGTT